ACACACACACACACACACACACACACACACACACACACACACAAGAAGTAGTCACTGAGTGCTGGGAAAAATAAAAAGACGAACAGACAGAGGCAACAAAGGGAAATTAAACAAGTAGGACCTACAAGGGCCGCCTCAACTACGCACAAACAAACATGTATTGGCGAAACAACAAACCCCAAAGACGGCAAAACAAACCAACCAGCCGTAACAACAAACTGCAGCGACATCTACACCTTTTCAGCACGCCCGCACAATGTTATGTGCTGGCTACAAACAAACAAACAAACAAACAAACGAAGAAAACAAACTAAAAGAACCATCTGCACGATATGGGTCAGAACGCAGAATGTGTGTCGGTTTTTTCACTACCCACAGCCACACCAAGAAAAACACAATATACATGTGTCAAGTTACTTATAATAACTACATGGCGTATCTACAAACCCATCAAGAACCTAGAAGAACACACAGACATGTCGTGTGAAGTTACTTATAACTGACCACATGCCTACCAAGAATGCAGTACACATAATGTGTCAAGTTACCTTTAACTGTCCACCACAGGCCCATCAAGAACACAGCAGAACAGACCCACCAAGAACACAGCAGAACAGACCCACCAAGAACACAGTACAGATGTGTCAAGTTACTTATAACTACATGGCGCATCTACAAACCCATCAAGAACCTAGCAGAACACACAGACATGTCAGGGGCCCGACGTTGTGTCCTTGGGAAAGGCACTCTACACGAATTTTCCTCACTTCACCCAGGTGGGAATGGGTACCCGGCTATAGACAGCGAAAGATCTTGTCAGTTTGTTAGTGTTTGAGCGCTTAATCAGCTGCTTGCGCTGTATGCTTCCCGGGAAGCTGAGAATGTTTCGGAGTGTTCTATGGTCTGCTGGGGTAATAATATAGTGTAAAGTGCATAGAGCCTGCTGTTGAGCGGGGATATGCGCTATAGAAATGCTATTTATTATTATTATTATGTCGTGTGAAGTTACTTATAACTGACCACATGCCTACCAAGAATACAGTACACAATATAATGTGTCAAGTTACCTTTAACTGTCCACCACAGGCCCATCAAAAACACAACAGAACAGACCCATCAAGAACACAGCAGAACAGACCCACCAAGAACACAGCAGAACAGACCCACCAAGAACACAACAGAACAGACCCACCAAGAACACAGTACAAATGTGTCAAGTTACCTATAACTACATGGCGTATCTACAAGCCCATCAAGAACATAGCAGAACACAGACACGTTGTGTGAAGTCATTTATAACTGACCACATGGCTACCAAGAATGAAGTACACATAATATGTGTCAAGTTACCTTTAATTGTCCACAGGCCCATCAAGAACACAGCAGCACAGACCCACCAAGAACACAGTACACGCGTGCCACTGCTCACGACCCACCAAGAACACAGTATACGCGTGCCACTGCTCACAGACCCACCAAGAACACAGTATACGCGTGCCACTGCTCACAGACCCATCAAGAACACAGTATACGTGTGTCACTGCTCACGACCCACCAAGAACACAGTACACGCGTGCCACTGCTCACAGACACAACAATAAGAAAACAGCACACACACGTGTAAGTCGAAAAGCTTCATCAAGAACTCAGTACACACCACACTGCTCACCAGCCCATCAAGAACACGGAAAAGAATAAAACAAAACAAAACAAGATAAAAACAGTACATGATAACATGCAGGGTGTCGCACGTTCTC